AACAAGAGCAGAAACCTTTTATCTTTCATATAGTTGTTAAAAATCAGATATTGAATAATTGTTGGTAAGAATAATAATTACATACACACATATATGTTTCTGGCAGTTGGACGTTTATTTGGGTTAGCATCGATATAAAGTTGGAATATTATTTGAAAATCTGGTCTTCACTTTTTTACTTTACTATTACTATATAGCTTACTGTTCGAATGGAACGTCCAGGTTCGAACCATATGAACTATCAAATATTTGTTGCTTTTTAGTAGAAATTTTCGGTGTAAAGCTGTTGTATGATCTTTTTCCCAAAGATATTTTTTAGATATATTGTGCATGATGCGCACTGCCGATTTTTTTTTATTTTAAAAAAAAAATTTTTAATATTATTAAAAAAAACAAAACAGATTTTAATCACTAACTTTTAGTCACTGATTCAGATGTATATACATCATTATCATTATTTTCACTTCACTAACATCATCTTCATTTTCATCATCTTCCTGTCCTCATTATCATTGCCAGTATCATTAGTGTTTCTATTGAAATTATCTTTTAATTTATTTGGATTTTTTTGGATTTTTGTAATTATAATTAAAATAAATAAACACTAATTAGAAAACCATACCAGATGTTAGTCTATTTCTTTTTTTATCATGTATATATGAGAATGCAGACCAATTTCTTTCAGGTGCTGCTGAAGATGTAGGATTGAAAGAATTTGTACAGCAAGATTAGTCAGTTCAGGGGCAACTATGAAAAATTCCCTTTCCACCATGTTACCAAATCTGCTTCATCTATAGTTGACCATGCTAAAGAATTGTCAAACAAGCTAGTATTTTGTTTACAATGTAGTAATTGTGACCAAATTTTTCTTGAGTCATTTGGATAATATTTCATAATAAAAAAAAAAAAATTTGCATTACATTTATTACTATGTACAAAAAAAAATTACATGCGCATGATTTCAAAAATTACGTGCGCATTGGAACATCTCTAGGTGCATTGTTTTTATAAGAGTTAATGATTTCAGTTAAAGCTGACATTTTGAGCTTTCAAAAATTTATTAAAAATTAAATTATATTCAGAACAATATAATATTTATTCAAGACATGTGTATTTACAATTGATCTTTTTGAAGCGAGAAATATTTGTCGGCCAAAGCTTATTTTTTTTAATTATTAAAAGAGTGTAACACAATAATTCTTAATAATAATACCCATAATCTCCAACAAATTCTAAAATAATGTGTAAAGAGTTAAAAGAAAGAACCTTGACAGTTTAAGAAAAAAGATTTATGTGGGTATATTTGTCGATATTTTTTTTTAATCGTTCATGAATTTTTAAATGTAGAAATGCACCCCGTCGATCATCAATTAATATTAACATTCAAATTATTTAAACCGTTTTCCAATTTCCAATTTATACTTTCTGAACAAGTACTGACTGAACTATGTCAATCCCAAGCAATATGATTTCAATTAGTAATTGGATATGTCTATATCCTGTATATTTTGACTCAACAAAAACAGTCCAACGAGGAAGAAGAATAACACAAAAAGAGGCTGTGAAACATCCATTGGCTAAAGATATTGCAGAAGTTGTAAAATCTTTAGGTTTAAATTGTGCTCTTGAGGTGATTTACAAGTGAATGAATGATTTTTAGAAAGAAAAGGTTCCAATTATTTAATTCACACTCACATTCATATTGTTATTTTAAATGAGAAAAGCCACATAAAACACACCCTCAAGACTGGGAAAATCCTGGAAGGGTAAAAGTAGAATTGTTTAATGAAAAAAAATCACCAATAAGATATGAAATACCAACACGTAAGCCTAATGGCAATAATTAAGAACCGTTTTTTGATAATAATAAATGCTAAACATATTTGTTTATCAATTCAATTAGGTAAAGTGTTAATTAAAAATGTGGCAATATTATTAGCTAAAATCCAACAAGAAAGTCCACAACAATTTCCTCCACCACATTCCCCAGCTGTATTTGATAGTAATTCTAGTGATTCTACTTCAATGTCTAATCCAAATAGATCTACCTCTACCACAACTCCAGCATCATCATCGTCAAGCGAAATTGCAGGTACAACCAGAAGTTCAAGTTCTAACTTAAAAAAGAAAGGAAGAAAGAGCAAAAAATAACAACTTAATTTTTAGAATCTTGAAATTTTTATTATGTATTTATAATACAATAATCAATTTTAATTAAAAACTTTATCTCCAAAAAAAATATAATTTACCTTTATAATTATAATTATTATTATTTTATATATATTTTATTATTCCACCCATTTCTTTTTCACAGTTATTATTCATATTAATACCATTACCATTAAAATTATTGATTATTTGTCACATAAAGTATAAGCTTCGTCTATATAACTACCAAAACTTTTTCTGATGGATCGTTTTGTGTAACATTGCACAAGTTCAATATGTCACACGTTATTGTTGATTCTGAATATTATCAGAAGAACCCACAGACAGACATATTTGACATTCTATAACTCAAATCTACTAGCTACATAATATACATAATATTAATTTAAAACTTGTTAATTGATAAATTAATTCAAGATTAAAAATATCAAATAGTGAAATAGTAAGAAAAGTGGACCAAGTGTAACAATTAATACTAATATCTTCAGCAACAAATCCATTTAGTTTTCAAGAAATGAAATTTTATTAAAATAGGATCAAATTATTATATAAAAAGATTTTTCTTTAAAGTTTGTATATATAATCATATAATTATAATTAAAATTCAAATATAAATATCTGAAACTTCCAAATCTTCAATTTCTGCTTTAACAAGATGTTTTCCTGGAATCATAACAAGCCCAACAAATCTTTTTTGTTCTGTTAAACATTCCATATTTTCAAAATTACAATACAAAATTTTAATATTCAATCTTTTTAAAAAATTTTTTTAATTAGATAGAGATTTTACCATTTCGAAACTCTTCTGTTTGTGATAAAATTATATTTTTATATTTGTCTATGCACATAAAAGTTCCATTAAATATACGACCATCTGAAATTGTAATTTGAGCTCTAAGATTTAAATAAGAACGAAGTTGTTGAATTTTAGGTGTGTCTTGTGATATCTTTGGCGTATCTGCCATATTATTTTGATTTGTTTTTTTATTTACACCTAATTTGATCAGCAAAATCAAAAAATCAAAATGAAAGAACTTGTTCTTGAACAAGCCCCAAGAAAAATGTAAATTATCATTGAATCCTCTAATTTTGTTTTCATGTTATTAATTGCTAAATAAATTCGATCTTTTGTCTTTAGTAAACACATTCAATTTAGTGTACTTTCTCCACAAGAAATTGTTAAAAATGCACATTTGGCAATTACACATCGAGATCTATTCAATGATAATAGAGCTCCAATGGAAAACGGTGTCTTAGATACACGTTTAGTAAGTTGCAAACAATAACTCTTTTATCAAAAATCCTTTTTGTTAAAAGATTTTATTAACAAAGTATCTTATAGGGTACCTCTGATCATGATAGGTCATGTGAAACCTGCGGTGAAAAAATGGCACAATGCATTGGCCATTTCGGTTATATTAAATTGATTTTACCAGTGTTTCATATTGGTTATTTCAAAGCTGTTATACAAATGTTACAAAATATTTGCAAGGTATTTGAAAAAAATTTTAATTTGGGATTATTAGATAAATATCTTTAATTAGTTAATATTATCATTAGACTTGTAGTCGTGTATTACTGGAGGAAAATGATTGTAGATTATTCCTTAAGAGACTAAGAAGCTCAAAAGAAGCACCATCAAGGCAAAAAATTGAAAAATCTGTAAATGCATTATGTAAAAAGACTGTCAAATGTCCATATTGTGGTGCAATTAATGGTTCTGTGAAAAAAGTTGGTGCAATAAAAATTATTCATGAAAAATACAAATCAAAAAAAGCTCAAGAAGAACATGAAAAATTTAAAATTGCCTTTGGAAATGCTATTGAACATACACCTGAATTAAAATCTCATTTACATAAAGCACAGGATGACTTAAATCCTTTAAAAGTTCTGGAGCTATTCAAAGGGATTTCTGATGAGGTAATTTCCATAAAAATTTTTTTTTTCAATGCAACCTTTAAATTATTTATTTCCCAAATTGTTTTAACTTGTACCTTTTAAAAGGATTGTGAATTACTTGGATTGGATCCAAAAAGTTCTCGTCCAGAGTTATTTATATGGCAACGTGTCCCTGTTCCTCCTGTTGCAATTCGACCCTCAATTGCACAAGATAATGCAAGGTACTTATATTTAACTTATATTTGTATCAATATATATATATTTGTTTATTCACCAATTCATTGCTACTATACTATTTTTTTGAAATAGTACAGAAGACGACTTAACTGTAAAATTGTCAGAAATAGTTCAGACAAATACTAATATAACAGCTGCACTATCTAAAGGAGTTACTATTTCACAATTAATGGTACATTATTAATAATATAATTATTATATTTTATCTCAACTTTTTATGGTTTGAATTTAATATTAAATTTTGATGATTATCAAATAGGAACAATGGGATTATTTGCAACTTACAATTGCAATGTACATAAATAGTGAGATGGCAGGATTAGGAAATATGGCGGTATATATAATTATTTATGTTTATATATTGAAGTTGGGCCAAAAAAAATAGTTTAATTATCATTTATGTTTTATTTATATAGGGGATAAAACCAAGTAGAGGTTTATGTCAGAGATTAAAAGGAAAACAAGGCAGATTTCGTGGAAATTTGTCTGGTAAACGTGTTGACTTTTCTGGCCGTACAGTTATATCACCAGACCCAAATTTACGAATTGATGAGGTATATATATATATATGTGTATTTCTTTTAAATTTTTGGATAATCATATAAAGATTGATTAGATATATATATGATATTTTATTAGGTTGCAGTACCAGAACTTGTTGCAAAAATTTTGACATATCCAGAAAGAGTTTTTGCTCATAATATTGTAAAATTACAAAAATGTATTATAAATGGTGCAGATATTCATCCTGGTGCTAATTTTATTAAACATAAAAATGGTGGCAAGAGGTATAAAAAATGTTGATTTATATATTTGTAAGTGGAATATTAGTTAATTTTATTGTTATTTTTAATTAGGTTTGTGAAATATGCTGATCAATCAGTAAGAGAAGCAATTGCTGCTGAACTGCAAATTGGTGATGTGGTGGAGCGTCATCTGAGAGATGGGGATGTTGTCTTATTTAATAGACAACCTTCTCTTCATAAACTTAGTATAATGGCACATTATGTAGTGTAATTAAATTAAAGAATTTTTTTAATATATATATATCAATACATAATTTTATTACAAAAAGAAAGAATTAAATATTAAAGTTTCTAATTTTTATTTTTTTAAAGGTTAAAGTTAAGCCGTGGAGAACTTTTCGATTTAATGAGTGTGTTTGTAATCCTTACAATGCTGATTTTGATGGTGATGAAATGAATCTTCATGTACCTCAAACTGAGGAGGCACGTATAGAAGCAATAGAACTTATGGGTGTCAAAAAGAACCTAGTAACTCCAAGAAACGGAGATCCTATCATTGCAGCTATTCAAGATTTTGTCACATCCTCTTTTTTAATTACTAAAAAAGATGTCTTTTACAATCGTGCACAATTTTTACAAATCTGCTCATATATGGCAGATGCTGCTATACACATTGATATACCACCACCTACAATATGGAAACCTGTTAAACTATGGACTGGAAAGCAAGTATTTAATGTATTAATGTGTCCTAATAAAAAATCTAATGTGTTGGTTAATCTTGAAGCTAAAGGAAGGCTATTTGAAAAAAAAGAAGGAAGGATTTTTGATCTTTGTCCAAATGAGGGTTATGTAGTTATTCAGAATAGTGAGATAATGTGTGGTGTTATTGATAAATCTTTAGTAGGTGATGGTAATAAACATTCACTGTTTTACACAATACTTTGTGATTATGGATCTGAGGAAGCAGCTAATGCTATGAATCGTTTGTCTAAATTATGTTCACGTTGGTTGGGTAATTATAATGAAAAATTTCAGTTCATAAAAAAAATTCAGTAATTCTGAATTAAACTAAAACTTTGCATCTATAACATAAAACAGCAAATCATGGTTTCTCAATAGGAATAAATGATGTTCAACCTGGTGAACAGTTAAGGGAGAAAAAAGATCATCTGATTGAAATGGCAAATAAAGCATGTGATGATCTTATTGAACTTTCAAAGTCTGGTAAATTGGAAAATCAGCCTGGGTGTAATGAAGGGCAAACACTTGAAGCTCATATTTCTGGTGTTCTATCAAAAGTCCGTGATGATGCTGGTCAGATTTGTATGACTGAGCTAAACAGACACAATTCACCTTTAATTATGGCCACATGTGGATCAAAAGGTTCTTTTGACTTAATTAAAGTTTATTCTTTAATAATAATATATATCTATTTACATATATTCAATTTTTTGATTTTTATTGTAATAATAATTTCGAATTTTATTATAATTTAGGCTCAAAAATTAATGTTTCTCAAATGGTTGCTTGTGTTGGTCAACAAATTATAAGCGGTAGTCGTATTCCTGATGGATTTCAAGATCGTTCACTGCCTCATTTTCCAAAACATTGTAATTATGTTGATTATGATTATGTTAGATAATAAATCATTTAAAATATACACAAAGTTTATAAAATTATTTGTTATTATTTATAGCAAAAACACCTGCTGCAAGAGGATTTGTTCGAAACAGCTTTTATAGTGGTCTAACTCCTACAGAGTTTTTATTTCATGCCATTTCAGGTCGTGAAGGTCTTGTGGATACTGCTGTAAAAACTGCTGAAACTGGTTATATGCAAAGAAAATTGATGAAGGTATTATTATTGTTTGTTTAATAATTGTAATTTTTTAATTTTTTTCTAGATTAATTGTGTGTACAACAGGCCTTAGAAGATCTTGTGATTCATTATGATATGTCTGTTAGGAATTCATCAGGTGGAATGGTCCAATTTTATTATGGTGATGATGGTTTGGACCCAGCATTTCTTGAAGACAATGTTTTACCAGTAGACTTGAAACGAAATTTACAACATGTTATTGTAAGCAATAATATATAACACTTTTGGTTTTATTATTTTTTTTTTGTTTTCACTAAAAAATATTAAAGCTAATAATAAATCTTTTTATTTCTAGAATATTACTTCATCAGTGAACGAGAAAGCTCTTTTACCATTTGAAATATTAGAAATAACAGAAAAAATATTAGAAAGTAAAAATTATGTGGAATCATGTACAGAATCATATATAAACTTATTGAAGGAGTTTATTAAAAAAGAAATTGTTGATAAACTTGTTGCAACACGTGAAGCATATGGATTAATGAGATGTAATGAAAAAATTGATGATGAATACTTGGATGTTGAAATGGCATGTGATGGTATATCTCTATTTTATTTTTATCTAAAATAAAATTATTTTACAATTGTTTAATAATAACATTTACTTTGGTTGATTTAGCTGTTATGAAGAATGTTGTAAATAATGTACTTAAAATTACCAAATCACAGTTATTAAAATTTTTAGATGTAAATTTATACAAATTTATAAGATCAAAAATTGAACCAGGTAAAACAATTTTTCCACTTATAAAAAAACAATTTAAGTTTTGAATTATGTTTTACCATCAAATTTTTACCATTTATAGGGACTGCTGTTGGAGCACTTGGTGCACAATCCATTGGTGAGCCTGGTACTCAGATGACTCTTAAAACTTTTCATTTTGCTGGTGTAGCCTCTATGAACATTACTCTCGGTGTTCCACGTATAAAAGAGATTATTAATGCTTCTAAAACAATAAGTACACCGATAATTACTTGTAAACTTGTTAATGATGTTGATGTAAAATCTGCTAGAATTGTAAAAGGTCGTTTGGAGACAACTTATTTGGGAGATGTAAGCAAATTTTAAAGTACTGCTTCTATATAAATATAATGATAAAATCTTATTCTATATATGCTTTAAATTTTTTTTTTAATGAGTATAGATTGCCAAATATATTGATGAAATTTATGAACAAGATCAATGCTATCTAGCAATAAAATTAGACTTAGATGCAGTTACAAAACTTCAGGTTTGAATTTAATTTTTTAATTTGTAATTGCTTAATCAATTATTTAAATGCAAATATATTCAAATACATTTATAGTTGGAAACCAATATAAAAGATATTGCAAAGGCAATTGTTAATGATCGAAAGTTAAAATTGGAAAGTGTAAGTTATTTATAATTGTTTTTTTTTTTTGAATAACACTATAATAATACTCAAAAACTCTTTTTTCACTTTACCATAATACAGTCTAATATTCGAGTTTCTTCTAATGATCAAATCAATGTGTATGTACCTGATAAAGAAATAATGAAAGATCCATGCTGCCTATATTATAGATTACAGGTACTTAAACGTGCTTTACCCAAAGTTATTGTTAAAGGTATTCAAACTGTAACAAGAGCTGTTATCAGTGAAGCAAAAGCAGATAGGAAACAATTACTTGTTGAAGGATATGGTTTGCGAGATGTAATGACAACCGAAGGTATTGTAGGTACTGAAACAACCAGTAATAATGTTAACGAAGTTCACAAAGTTTTGGGAATTGAAGCAGCTAGGTAATAATTTTTTCATTTATTTGATTTTGTTGATTAGAAAAATTATAAGATTTTTTTTTCTTAAACTTAGGAATACAATCATTCAAGAAATTCAATATACTATGGGTCGCCATGGTATGAACATTGACCCAAGACATGTTATGTTACTGGGTGATATTATGACATATAAGGTAAGGTGATTGTTATATAGTTATTGATTACATATATGTGTGTTTATATTTTTTTAATCTGTAAATTATAGGGAGAGGTGTTGGGAATTCATAGATTTGGTATATCAGATATGAAGAGTAGTGTGCTGATGTTGGCATCATTTGAAAAAACAACAGATCATTTATTTGATGCAGCTTTGCATGGTAAAACAGATTGTCTTGAGGGTGTTAGTGAATCAATTATCATGGGTATACCAATGCAACTTGGGACAGGATTATTTAAGTTGATAAGAAAATCCCACTTAGGTGATGAAAGGCCACAAAGAAGAAAATTATTATTTGATAATAGTGAACACCACGTAAATTTCTTATATGATTCATCACAAGTTTTATAGCTGATAGTAAAATGTTTAATTTTTAAAAATAAATAGAAAAAAAATTACTAATTTATAAAATTCATTTAATGTAATTAATCGTGCATCATGTATCTAATTAAAACTAAGTTAATAATTAATAAATTAAACTTTAGTACATAGAAATTATTTTGTGTATGACTATAAATGGAAATATAATATAAATTATATACTGTCGTGGTCTAATTCAATTAGATACGGGAGGTAATTGTTTTTTTTTCAATTGCTTATTTATTTTACTATGTAATTTATTTGAAATAACCAATAAAAATAACATCGGAAAAAAAAAATAATATAAATTTTATATATTAGTATTAGTATATATTAACAAACAATAAAAAAAAAAATCTAAAATTTCTACGACTCTTGGTAAAACAATCCAACTAGATAAATATTCTAAATATTTTAAGAGAAGACCTTGCAGAATCGTTCGTTTTATAAATTTTGATTTAAACATAGTTGTTGGGATGCTGGAAAAGGACAGGGGACGGGTCACTGTGCCACACCTGTACCTTGTTAATTGCCAGTCCTTTTTTATACTATTTTGCAGAGCACCCGTACCATTGCCCGTCCTTTTCATGTGTTCCGTTGTGAGTTTCTATAAATAACTTCTTTAAGAACCTCTTTAAAAAATAAAAATTGCCTCGCCTATAACAAGACCGTCTTGGTAGCCTCTATATACATCAATTGCTGATTTGCAGAATATATTGGCAACCTACTTCTCTCAAATCCCAATTTAGTCCTAATTAGAGGCCTGCATTGGGTTGGGCGGGTTGGTCTTAACATCAAATAACTTTGGGTTGGGTTCGGGTTGTAATTATGACCCGAGTTTGACCCGAATTGACATGAATTTAAATGAATTATATATATATATATTAGCCAGTTTTTTCAATCCTCTTATGAAAAAATTGAAAAAATTGGAGTCTGATGATGCTATCTGGGTAAAAAATGAAATTAAAAGACATTATGGTAATCCAACAATTAATGATGATAGTGTTGATGCTGACAGTAATAATGATGATAATTCTATGCAAGCAATATCATCAACTACAATTTCAACTTCAAATTCAAATGTAGAGTTAGGTGATTTTAGCAAATATTATGATGATAGTGATGATGAAGATGATGACAAAGATGATGTTGATTTGTATTTATCAACAAAAATACAAAAAGATGATAACTTTAATATTTTAGAATGGTGGAAAGACCATCAACTTGTTTATCCAAGACTTTCAAGGCTTGCTGTCTATTATATGTTACAGTGCACCTAGTGAAGAGTTTAGTGCAGCTGGACTTACAGTTAATGAGCTTCGCTCAAATTTAAATCCACAAACAATTGATAGTATTCTTGTATAAAGAAGCTCATATAGTAAAATTTTCTTTCTTGTAACGAACAATTGCAATAAGAGTTATTTTTTAAATAAAATTGTGTTACAATGTTGTTAAATGGGTTGAGTTCGGGTTTGGATTGAAATTTCTTGTGTATATACAAGTTGGGTTTGGGTTGCAAATTATAAATTTATACGGGTTCAGGTTGGGTAACCATTAAATTATGATGACCCGTGCAGGCCTCTAGTCCTTATTGCCACCGCAAATTCCAAATTGGGCTTTTAGGATCATTTCTTCAATAATGTCAGGATCTCTGTATCGCATTACTCTGGTCCATTCGTCCTTTTTTAATTTCATTTCAATTATGACAAGTGTATTTTGATGCTGTGTTTTTCAATGGAATATTAATATTGTTTGTTGACAGACTGAGCAATAGGGCCATTCCCCAATCAATATGGAAAAACATTAGCAGATAAAAAATAATGTGAGCATGAAGATTCTTCATGCTGATGCCAAGAAAAATTCAATAAATTATTGATCATATGTGTCTGATTCATTTCATCAACAATCATTTTGTCAAATGTTCATTTTGTTGAAAATTATTTCGTCACAAAAAAACTTCATTAAACAAATTTCTCCTCACACTTCCCACACACACCGCTTTCCTTACCTAATTTCTTAACTAACTTCCCACACTCCTCACATCTAACTTGTTCAGTCTCTGGCTCAAGGATGAAATAATTTTCAATGAAATGAACATTTGACAAAATGAACTTTCAATGAAATGAACATTTGACAAAATGAACTTTTGATGAAACAAACTTTCAATGAAATGGGTGTCGATGAAATGATTGTTGATGAAATAATTTTCGACAAAGTAAATGTGACCGGGGGGTTTGGGTACATTTTATTACTTTTAAATCTTCAAAGAATGCTGAAATTCTTTTATTGTTGAATCACAATAAATCGATCATTAAAGCTTGGTGATAATGAAGTTGTTCTTTACATATGTGCTGATTTTGTTTGAACCCCAAAATCCAGTATGGTATGATCATAACGTTATGAATACTTTATACTAGCAAAAACCCATTGGTTTTGAGGTGGGGCCATTGGTTTGATGGGTTGTTGAATAGTAAAATAGTTTTTTTAGCAGAGCAAATATTTTTTTTAAGGTTAATTATCATTCTACTGAACAGTTTACATATTAAAAATACTCGTGTTTAACATCAAGACATAATAAGACATAAGGTTGAAAAAAGGCCCAAAAAACCAAATAGGCTGATATGAAATAATGCAATTTTTGTTTTCCAATTTACATCCTTTATCAATTAATCCTGTTGGAAAAAAAGCTTATAAGGCAATCAAATAATAATAAAAAATGTACAAAAAATTGTTTGTTACAGATCATTCAGTTCTCCACAAAAAAAAACAAGGTTAAGTTCCAAAGTTCTTAATGAAATTTTATTTTTAAAAAGAAAGTTTGTTTATGATAATTAAATAATATATAATATATATAAACTGTTACAACACCCAAAACTATTATCATAGGAAAATAAAATGATTTAAATGAAACCAGTTTAACAAATAAAATTTTTTTTTACTGGTTGACTGAAACTTTTACAATTAAATCTCTGTAATTGGCCTGAACTATAAGATAGACAAAATATATCATGTTGATATCTAAATAAATAGTGATTGATCATGTCATTAAAACAAAAATAATGTTTTCTCACAATAATAAAAACTGATGTAAAATTCCAATAATCAAATGAGTGAAATTTATTTGTAGGTCTAAATTTCTAAATCCATTTGGTTAGAATCTATAAATATGATAATTTATAACATAATAAAAATAATGTGGTTACCATTATTATTACTATAATATATGTAATAATTGTGTTGATGTTAAATTTTAAAATCAATAATCAAAAGTTACCATTAATATTATCTAAATCAATTTGATGTTCTGTAAATGTGATAATTTATAACATAATAAATAATATTAATGCTGATATTAAATGAATTTTAAAATTAAATAATTGATGATAATTACCAATATTGTTGCTGATAATTGTAACTTTATTGGAGTTTACAGGTTGTGGAAGATTTGTAAAATTGAATAATCTACTTGTATAAATAGCATTTGGATGAACAGTTGCAGTAATTGTTGGAAGGTTAAAGGGCTTTTTATTTGCTTTTTCAAATATTTTTCTTATTTCTTTTAATTTATTTTTTTAAAATAATACTTAGAATCATCATATGCAACTGCATCTTTCCAAAAAGTAATAATTTTTAAAATTTCATTTGCTGTTGGTCTTTTTTTAGGATCAGCATCTGTACATTTGTATGCTAACCTAATATAACATTCTGGAGTATTGTCTGAAAAACTAGGTCTTAAGCCATTACAGATCTTGATAGCAAGATCTAGATCATGTGGTTGATTCTTGAATGGTTGTTGACATGTTGATAATTCTGACATTAAGATCCCAAAGCTATAGATGTCAGATTTTTGGGTGTAAGACTTCTTATTTAATACCTCTGGTGAAATATATGGCAGTACTCCAACTATACCATTTTTACTTGATATTTTTTGATTAGTTGGGCCTGATAACCCTAAATCTGTAATCATTGCCTGGTGTAAATAACCAAAATATAAAATATTACCACTGTGAAGATCACCATGTGTAAGTTTTTCTTGATGAAATGTATTTAAACTTGAGACAATATCATAAAGTCTTTTAATTTTATCATCCCATCTTGTGCCATTTGATTTTAAATATTTTTTAAAATCTCCTTTGTCTGCATATCTCATTATGAGAACATATTCTCTTGTATTTGGATCTTGTGAAATGCCATAAATATTAACAACACCCTTGTAATAAGGCCCTATAAATTTAATATGATTTTGAAGCTTTATGAAATTTAATAAAAAATTAATATATTATTTAAAAGTCTTTAATTGTTAACTAATTACATCAAATTATTTACCTCTTTTAAAAATTCTTCAGAAACATTTTGTGAGCTTTTAAACTTTTTTAATGCTACATAACCATTTATACAATAGTATCTTTTATTCCTTTTAACATATCTAGGACCATCTGACCAGTAACACTTATACACAGTTGCAAAACCACCTTCACCTATTCCTTCATCAACTATGAGTTGGTCATAAGGAATCCATTCAAGATAATGATAGCTATCAAATCCTTTGGCTTCAAGTTGTGTATTTCTGATTATTTCATCCAATTTTTCATTACCACTGCTAGTCCAACTTTGAGCTAACAATTTGGGATCACATGATTGACACCACTGATAATTAGTATTATATCTTGCACAAACAGAACAAAAATATGCGTGGTCACGTGATTTACAGAACGCCCGAGGTCGTCATTATTTGACTCATTTTAGTTTTTTTGGGCTATTTGTGGTATGCCAAAGACACAGTTGGATAAAGTTTATTCGTTTATTTGAAAGACTTGTTGCGTATTTCCATACCATCCTAAACTTTTTCAAAATATAAGGATGTTTTCATTGCGCACCAACGGAATTTGTTTTTCGGTTTTTTCCCCGTTTCACAATAGACCGAATCTCATAAAACCACCATGCCAATATCCTATGATCATATTTTTGAAATTGTTGTTCCGCTTTGAAATTTGAGAGTATGTATATTATCTTTTCGACTGTATGTATGATTTATTTTAACGTTGACTTGTCAATTTCCCTCACACACAAAACGGATTGTTGAAAAATTCCGAACACGATAATTTGTTCGGAAAAAGCAAGCAGACTTACCGGTAGTATTCTGGCACATTCTCTTACTAAAAGCATTAAAGAAGCTCGCTCGGAAAGTTGTCTGAAAAAAAAACTAGATTTAGGTTATAGGAAGTATTTTTATTTTTATATTACATCCATCTAAATTTAAATTTGCGTCTCATATCAATTCCTTGAATTCTTTTACCACTAAAAAACTAATTAGATACCTATCATTACTATAATTTGGGTGATTGAAATATCATAATGTTTTTATTTTTGAAGATTATAAAAATTTAAAAATTTTTTTAAGTTATTGGTTTTATTAATAAATAAAAAAATAATAACAGTATATTATTTAAAAATATGTGTAATTAATTATTTTTACTCTTTAATTTTAAATAATTTTTTCTATTTATCTAATAATGTCGCCTTTATATGATTTTTGTTATTTATTACTTTTTGCAAACTTTTTCTTTTTTAAAGTACTGGTTGAGATGTTTGAATGATGACTTCCTGCCGTTCTTATTTGCATTGCAGAAGTGGCTGTTGAAGTGGTTGGTGTACTTATCGTTGAAGATGAAGAAGAAGAAGAAGATGCTGAAATCGTTGGTTTTGGTGCTATACCTTTTCGCTTATCTTGTTTCTGTAATAATGCCATTTTAGCCTATACATACATGTACAGATTTTTAGTTGATTTTATGATTAGGAAAGAAAAATGGGAGAAATAATGTAAATTTAATGTAGCACAAACATTATGAACAGCATTTGACGTTAAATCTTTAAGCAGTTGTTCAGTTTCCTTAGTTCGAGGATGATCAGGTCCAAACTAATAAATTAAAAATTATTATTAAATGTTTACATAGAAACAAAAACAAAAAAAAACATAATAAATATCTACCACAGTGTGAAAAATATTATATGCTGATTTTTCTGCAGTCAAAGCTGCTTTATAATCTTCAGAAAGTGCTAAAGCTTTCGCTAGGAGATGGTATCTACATCACAAATAGAATAAAATGATTAAATAAATGATTTGATGGAGTTTTTAAAAATCATTTTCTTTTTATCGACTTACGATTCACCAGTTAAAACATTATTTTTTCCAAAGATAGTTTCATTTGTTTCTTTGGCTCTTTCGAAAAACCTTATACTACCACCAAAATCTTTTAAATTTTGTAACATAATTCCGACGTTATGCTATGTACACAAATTGCAAAATATCAAAATATATATTTAAATGATACGTATATATTTTTTATATATATTCTACAAAAAATTGTTTTTTTCTTACATCAGCGGTTGCGCCATCCGGGTGTGAAGGTCCATATATAATTTCCCAATAAAACATTGCATGCTTCATGTAACGAAGACCGATTTCGGTATGACCAATAGCATTTTCAAAAAGACCTAAATGTAACTATTGAAATAACCTTATTTGAATAATGCACTTTCTTTTAGGAACCCATCCATTCAAAAACTATTATTATATCTGCATAACTTACATAAGCATGCACTGCTTCTACACTGTCAGTACCACAAGTTCGCTCCAATACAACAACGGCCTTCTTTTGAAAATCTATCGCAATTTCTAAATCTTCATGATGATAAAAATACATCGCTAATGCAACGTAACACTTTGCCGTTGCTGGATGAAGAAAACCATAACTTTGTTCATGTAATGCAAGTGATTGTAACATTAGATCCACGCCTAAATCTCGATGACCTAACATATAATTTTTATGATAATTAACATTCTACGTATCAAATAAAATCAAAATCTTAATAATTATAAATCAAAATAAAATACCTTGAGCAATACTTAATTTTCCAGCTTCAAAAGTCTCCTCGGCAAAAATACACTACAAAAAATGAAAAATAATAAATAAAAAATTCCAGCCGGATCAAATCAAGGCAATAATAATAAAGTAATAAGTAATAAGTGGACTGTTTACTTTAGGAGTTGCTTGTTTGACAACAGGTATTATATTGAAGATATCATCTGGTAAGAATGTGGTTGCTCTTTTTTTTGATTTCTTTTTTACAAAATGATAACCTTGAGCTGCTATTTGAACTCCTACTCGTAAACATATTTCTCTCAGTAATGGAAGTTTGCGAATGTGTGTAGAAACAAAATCTTCAGGAAGTTTATATCGAAAACGTACTAACACCGTACTATGAATTTGTTGAACGAGTGAAGAGGGTGTGAGATTTAAGTATGCATATGATTGAGTATTATCGGCTTTATTCTTGATATTTTTATTCTTTTTTTTTTTACTGTTGTTTGCGTCATCATCATTCTCACCACTACCACCACAACTAAATAATACATCAGGAACTAATGGTTGTGGATTAGCATTATAGTCGGTCCCTAGCAGACAATTAAAAAAATGCGCAACACAATATGATGTGTATGTGATTGGTAGTTCTCGAAGAAGTTCACGAAGTATACGTTTTGATGCTCTGATAATCATCTCATGAATAACCAAATGCTATAAAAAGATATGTGTGTGTGTGTGTGTGTGTGTGTTGTATGTGAATAAAAATTAAAATAATGCTATATTATAATTATTTCACATGTGTATATATGTAAATTTATAATATACCCTTATATGATCTAACTTTCGATCTGTAGATTCATAAAGAATTTTTGCAATCGTGCCTAAATATCGCATATTAATACCACGACGATGCATGGCTGCTGTTAATGATGCTCCATCTGCTGGTGAAACAGCTAATGAAGTGAATTCAATAATCTATACAATCGATTATCTTTTTCATTAAAGAAGGTTTTTTTTTAGAACAATAGATTTGAAAATATGATTTTAAATTACCATCAATTGAATAACACTATCTCTAAGATATTTTGAAGCATTCCTGACATTTTCTTCGTCAGTTTCTTTCTTTGTCTTATAATTATCACCATCTGGTATTTTATAATCAGTAAAAGAATCTGGATTTAATGTAAAATTAAATTCTTCATCGGGAGTTACTTCTTGAGGTTTAGAATCTTCAGGTTTAGAATCTTCAGGCTTAGAATCTTCAGGTTTAGAATCTTCAGGTTTAGAATTTTCAGGTTTAGAATTTTCAGGTTTAGAATCTTCAGGTTTAGAATCTTCAGGTTTAGAATCTTCAGGTTTAGAATCTTTGGTTTCCTCCTATCAACAACAATAATGATAACGATACTATTGTTTAATAACTTGATTTAAAAAAAAAAATAGCATTAACTTTTTAAAAAATTAATATACATTCTGTTTTCGATTAGCCTTTTCCTGAAGCCACAATCTAAATTTATAATCCCAAAAAGATTCAATCAATTCTGGTCTTAATAAAGTTAATTTGTGAGAATAAAGTGGAAGGTCACTTTCTTCTTTAGGTTCACATTCTTTCTCTAAAAATTCAATATCAACAGGATTAAGACGATACAAATCAAATAAATATCGTCTACCATCATCACCCATTAATCCCTACCATATATATATATATATATACATATAATTTTCAAAAAAGTTGATGATATGATTTAATTACATTTTAACCAATATATATATATATATACACGCATATTAAATGTTTAAATATCTATAAACGTTATGAAAAAACCTTAGTTTCTAAAGAAGTATGAAGTTTTACGGAATTTCCTTTTGAATCGGAAACACTTCAAACAAAGCAAATACATATAAACTTTATAAATTAAAATCGTATAAAGTAGATTGACATCAAGGAAAATTTTTATGAGATAATTATACAAATTAACTAACCTGTGTTCAGCAAGATGTAAAACTTTTGCTGCTTTACCAACAATCTCATGGAACTCAGGATCAGCACAAAGTTTAGGTTTATCTCTTCCATTATCAAAATATCCATAAACAACGGAAGAATCATCTTGACGTCTAAAAATTCCTATTATACACACATACACACACATACACACAATTAGTAATAATTTTTAATTACAAAAATAATGTGTAATGAATAATATGAACCTGGAACTATGGTTTGGGCCACAACTCTGATGCCTTTATAATCAACCACAACACATCCCAAAGTATATAATCCTTCTATATCAGCTATATTAATTGTTTTTATTCCTTCTAAATCTTTCCCTGTTGCAACATGGGCTGCATCATCACCACCAAGCTTTGCAAAAGTTCCACGTGTATCGTATGCTTTACTAAAGAAAATATTGTTATAAACATACATGTGCTCTTCTGAAGGATCACGTGGATTGAATGGAATGACGTTTCCATTTACCACGGCAATTGCACCCCTGACAGCACTTTCTGTGAAATCTGATTGAATCTTATTAACAAGCCTTTCGCGCAGTACACGATCTCTTAATTCGACGCGTGGATATTCGCGCTGTGATTGAAATTCATCATTCCAATCTCTAAGCGAATCAACCACATCATTACCAACATTCAAGTATACTTCAGAAATGTGACCCATATCAAACGTATGCTTTGGTTGTTTAACAGCCCATGGATAAGCAGGAAAGCAAGAATTAATAGGAATAGTTTCGAAAGGGTGATGCATAACGTTAAACTCTTGTAATTCTTTGAAATTTTTACGAAACGTAGGTGAAACCTCTTGTAGTAGGTTGACAAGTGAATGTGCATGATATACTTGAAGCTCAGATTTAGGATTTGGATCAAAACTTTTCATTGTAGATTTATTGATATAAAAACCATTTATCGATGCAGTGATATGTAAATTATCTCCCTCGATTATTGTAACAGAAAGAAACAAAAGATCACCTAAAAAAACAATATATATATATATATATATATTTATTTAAAGATAATAATGATCTTGTAATAAATATTAAATAAATAAAATCTAAAAATGAGACTACAATATACCTTTTTTACGACGTTCAAATGGCACAGGATTCCAACCAGAAAGATGAATAGATTCTAAACATTTAATACTACATCTTGAAAATTTTTCAGGTACATATTTTGATAAAGAAGGAGCAGAAAAATCGTAATCAGAAAATGGAGTTTCTAATGGTTTAAGAACATTTGATTCGTCTTCTTTAGCTTTCCCGTTTTGTTGAGGCTGCTGAATAATTTGTTGATTATCTGATGATTTATTTAAACTATTGATTAATATATATATAAATACAAATATATACAAATACAAATACAAATATTTAGTTCGTTTACCATTGGATCCAGTGACAGCAGTGAAAAATGATAAGCCAGGATCAATTCCAACATAAGAAGAAGATTGTTTGAATGGTCCCGAAAGTAATTCTCTAACATGCATAATGTGAATGCGAGCTTCTCGTTCTGTATAAGGCTCTGTTAAAATAAATTTAATTTTTTTTAATTAGCTTCATAGATTATCATTTCAGATCAAAATGCAAGATAAAATAAAATAAAGTAAACCTTCCACTAATTCCAGATCAGCATCTTGAGTAATCCCTTCATCTTGAAGCTCTTTGTAATCGTCAAGTTTTTTACCGTCCCAATATAGAGAAAAGCATGTATAATTAGAAGTTTCTGGTGAATCAATTAACCATTGTCTAACTTCCTGCACAAGTTCACTTGCAGTTGCCTAAATCATTTATTAATTAATCGATCAATCAATTAATAAGAATTAAAATAATTGATTTATAATTATAAGTTTTAATAGAAATAATATTAATAGATTGTTGATTAATTGAAAATCAAATGCTTTGCACGGGCTTACAAAAACTTGAGACTTGTCAACAAGATTTGGTATTTTTATCTTCAATGTGAATGGATGCTCCTCAGTTTCAACAATTGTACTCTCCATCACATTCTCTACGATATTTTCGTTATTACCATTAGACATATTTTCCATGTTCTGTATATATTTACAATGTTGGTATTTTTTTAAAAATCTTTTTTTTTTTTTGAAATCTTGATTATTTAAAATCGATTAACCAAAAAAAAATGATTTTGTGATACAATCAAAAATTTCCACTCGAAATGATAAATAAAATTCCAAATTAAAGATTGCATTAGTGTTATAAGTTCCGTTGTTATCATAAATGTTGCTAGTGTCATTGATTGATTCATTAATATTAGCATTGGTAGGTTTTTCTTTGGGATTTGTGATTTGTTTGGTTACGGCCTCAAAGAAACCTTTAGTTTGGTTGATTATTATTTCCAGTAGAGGATGAAGATTTAGTATTATTGTTTTTATTGTTGTCTGTAGTAGTATTTGATCGTTGTCAATGGTAACAGAAGAAGATCCAATTGTAGACGTGGCAGAATATATCTTGATGATCAGTTTATGCCTTTTAGCTTCAACGCGAGGAGATTTCTTGTTTCATCTTTATTTTCATTGATGACAATAAGGGAATTTGATTGTTGACAACAGGTTCATTTGTATGAGGTTCATCAGTTTCTATAATTGCAAGATCAATGAAATTAATGGTATAAGATGTGGATGCAGATTGTCATTTGAAAGAACGATTCTGTATAACGAATTTTGCCCGATAAATATTACGAGCAAATGCGATATGTTTTGAATTTGAGATTTTCAAGATTTGTTGATAACTGTTTGTCATTATCCTTGATTTTTTCAATATTTTCGGATTAATGAATGCAAACGTGTTTTGATTGATTCTTTGATAAAATTATTGCAGGTTAAGTTGAAACTGAAGAACTTCTTCCGGTTTGTTGACTTGATCGAAGTCAAGAGGCATTATTATCAATAATTTTTTTTTAGGAAATGAATTATGAAAGAAAGAAAAGAAAAACAATTCCTTGATATTTATATTAATTGAATTTTTTATTATCATTATCATCATCATTTAAAATAAAGACTTTGACTTAGAAACAGTGTTTATATATGCTATAGTATTAAAAGTTGAGATTAAAATACCTGGTAAACCAAACTCATAAAAATATTTATTATTCCATCTTCCAGCTTTATAATAAATAATGTGAAATGAAGCTAAATTAATATTTGAAATAATTAATGATAATAAAATAATTTTTTGTATTGATAGATCTTTATAAAGTAATCCAATCATACTTAAAAATAAAAATGAAAAGTTTGAACTTGACAATTTTTTAATTAAATTATCTGAAAGATTTTCTAATCTATTAAAATCAGCATTATTATAAATCAATTTAAAATAAAATCTACTATTGGGGAAATAATTTTTATTAGAATAATTTTTAATAAAATCATTTGATTTATAATATACTTTACTCAACAACATTGAATACCATAATATGTTGATTACAAAAATCATTTTGTTTGATTTCGTTATTCTTACTAATAATTTAAAAATGAACTTTAAAACACTAAATTTTACTGAAGATATTTCATTCGAAGGAGCTTTGGTTAATTGTGAATCTCTTTCAATCTGATTTTTGTTGAAGTTTGCTAAATTATTATTACCATTATCTACCGGTGAACCATTATAATCTTTTCTCCCCTCTTCCTCCCCTTCCTCCCCTTCCTTCTCTTCTTCCTCTTCTTCCTCTTCCTCTTTTATACTTCCCCACAATTCACTGTTTTCCCATTCTTCACTCCCACTTTGTGAACTTTCAAAAGTATCACTGGCAAAAGTGCTATCGATCCCACCATCTATAATACTAATATCACTGACACTAAGGTTATTATAATTCATTAATTCACTATTATATTCACTATTATTTTCGCTGTTGCTATTGTTATCATCGTCATTATCATTAACGTCGTCGTTACCGTCAATATTGCTGGAATCTTTTGGCTGTCGGTTAGCCTCGACCTTTTCCTTGCGTGAATTTTGACCTTCTTGTGTATTTTTTATCATTTATTTTTTAATTGAATCGTTTTTTCAAAAAAAAGTTTCAAAGTTGCACAAATCATTGTCCCAAAGATCATGATTGGGTAGAATTTTATCTATATTAGTAAAGAAAGACTTCGAATGGTCCAACAGTAAAAGTTAAACATTTTTATTGGAATTCTTTATATAAATATAGTTTATTCAAACAAGAATTAGCGCTGCTCCCTACATGTTTCTTGTTCCTTGGAATACCTCGGTCGACTAACCATCTTTTTAGGATGAGATGGTTACATTTATACCAAAGAACGGATTGGGTTTGGTATAACTGAGGTAGATGTGGTAAGAACAACCCTGAGGTAAGTATGGTAAAGGTATTTCGTATACTTTATGTACCCTTAAAATCTGAAATTTTGACTAATATTGTACAAATTCGCTGCAAAAACGACGCAAGTAAAATTTCTTTAAAGGCTAATAAATACAAAGCTCACGATTATAAATATATATTCCAAAGTCTTTTTAGTTATATTTTCCTTGTGTATCTCAATCTCTCCTTTGTTTCATTCAGTTGTCCCCAAGGAGTCGGGTTTTTCTTTTGCTAAATACAAATTCAGCATTTACTACATTTCTTATAACGTGATACATGACCGGGGTAGATAAAATCATCGGTACTTTATGTTCCAGGGTCAACTAATTTTAATTACGGAAGTCTTTATAATATCAATATTGGTTAATTAAGTATTTTTGCAATAATAATAAACCCACCTTTATATTTGTCCCCATTGTAGTAATCAATGAAAATTTCATTAAGGGTCTTCGTTTGAAAAAGCATAACCTTGGGTCCTCGCAGAGCAAATAATAGATAATTGACATTCTAAAATAAAAATAAAAACATTGTCTTTATTTTCTTTGTTTGGTAAAAAACCACATTTATTTGCTTTGGTGAGCAAGCAAACAAGCAATCTAATGTTAGGACTAACGTTGGTTAACTAGTGAGTGTTAACAACAATTAGTAACGTAATTTGCTTTAACGAGCAAGCAAACAAGGTTAAGACTAACATTGGTTAACTAGTGAGTATCAATGAAGTATTGTCCAAATGTTAATCGGAAATGCTGGTGGTGTTATTGTAATCGTAAACGTAAGACTATTAAACAAGCTGCTTGAGTTGATTTGCAAATAAATAAACCAAAGCGAGACCAATAAATGTAACAAGGGTAAATGAATAAGTCGGTCACAAGTGAATAAAAGGAACTTTATAGAAGTCCTCGAGCATTGTAAAGATCCATCTTTGTATCATTAAGTGTGTTTACAAATTTTATCTAGGTGCAAGAAAGAGAGAACCAAAGTAGATTCGTAAACTAATTAATTGACAACATCAAGTTATTTGCAATTAACTGGCCATTTAACAAGAATCAGAAAATTGTAAAAAGTATATTATTTCAAAGTAAGGTTACAATATAAGAAATAAAAAAAGGATAATATAAAAAGATAAATAAAAAGATAATGAATAAATTTATAGTGGAGATTAAATTAATCATTCATCAATTCTTTCTTTGACTATCATTGTTAGTAATAATTAATGGATAATAATTTCTAATTAACTAATAATTCACCTTTGTTAAAATCAACATTTAGGAAAAAGATTTAAAATCAAGATTATTTAACGAACTATCATTACTTGTATAACTTTTTAAACTTTTAGATTTAGCAATCTCTTCATCTAATATTCTACTTGTATTATATGCATCCGGATGTGATTTGTGCGTTTGTTGCGAACCACCACCACCACCACCACCACCACTGCTTTTGAATAATCTTTTTATTAAACTGTTATTATTTATAAGTTTTTCTTAATTAAAAAAAAAGATCCTTTGCCCTGATCTTTTTCTCGTGTTTATTTATCCCAGATTAAATGTCAATCGGATCGATTAGATTTTTTTTTTCCAAGTCTATCGTTATAGAAGAATAAGCATCGTCAAAAGTTGTTTACAAATTTCGATTGTTAAAAAAAAAATCACTATGCAAAGATTAATCAATTGGAAATTAAAATAAAGTTTTTCCTATCCAGATCATCCACTATCTCTCAAATGGTCAAAATCAAAAAAATTTGTACATATTAATAATAACAACAACAAAATAAAATATGAAAAGTGTTTTTGAATCCCCTCGTGACCCGAAAATATACTAACACTATCACGTTTTGTGACAAGTCTTTGACGATCTGGGATCTGGAGTAAAGACTCCAAGGCAAGGCCATAGGTTTTTGGCCATTTGAAACATTAGAGTAAGACGAAAACCTAACAGTAGACACCATGCAAAAATCATCCAATGCGAAACGTGATTTTCTTCAGTCAAGTATCTGCTTCGCTCAACCCTGACGTTTTGAACAAAAATAGATAAATTTCCAAATAGATAGCAATGGGAATTCGCATGACACAGCGATGTAAAAATAAACACAACCATTTATCATTTTTGGAAAAGAAAAAACAACACATTACCTTTGGATTTTGATCTCATCCTTCTCCAACAATCCAGTTTACTAAAGTTGAACAACAAAATGTTTAGAAGGTTCGGGATTCGTTCATTGAATTTACCGTTTCAAGTCTTAACCAGATTATTTCCCGTACAACCAAAACATTTCAAAAAAATATTACACAAAATATCTAATATAAAAATCTACGACTAGAAAGGCAACCTTTCTTTCTTTTATGTATGTTAAAAGAAATAAATAATGTAACAGTTATTCTCAAAAATTCTCCACATTCATTAAAACACCAAGTCGAATTTTATATTTTTATATAATGTCGTATGTTAAACTATTATCATTGTTATCACCAGAAAGAAAGAAATTTGTGTTTAAAATTAATAGTGAAATGCGTAATAATGCGGTGGCTAATTCTGATAAAGAAAGTAGAAAAGATTATTTTTTTTCATTAGTCAAAGAAAACAAGGAACTTTCTGAAAATGAAAAAGAATATTGTAATGAAAGGATTATTTATGATTTTGAATTAAATAATGCAAGAAATAAATTGGGAAAATCAAAAGAATGCAACAAATGTAAGTTGACAAAATATTCTGATAGATTCTGTGAAGGTTGCATTAGTTTACAATTACAGAATCTTTTCACCACTTGGTCATCTGGAAATAACATAATTGATAATTTTATTCAACAATGTCAAATGATATCATCTCTGCCAAACCAAATTTTAGAATGGATACCTTTTGAGCAATTTAAAAAAGTAACAAAGTTAACTGAAGGTGAATTTAGTTCGATTTTTATTGCAGAATGGATAAGAGGAAGAATTACTGATTACAATGATAGTAAAAAGGAATTTAGTTATTTAGGAACACAAAAAGTAGTATTAAAAAGTTTAAATGATTCAAGTAATTCAGGAAAAGGTTTTCTTGATGAGGTTGGTAGTTGTCATTTAAAATAAGAATAAACAAAACTATATTATATAATACTAATTGATTTTATTTATTTTCAGACATTGAATTATTGTAAAATTAAATCACCCCTGATTATTAGTTGCTATGGTCTAACTAAATTCCTAGATAATGGAAATTATGCAATTGTTTTAAATTATGCCCCAGAAGGAAATTTAAGAAGTTATTTGCAAAAAAATCATTTAAATTTAACATTAAAAGATAGAATTACAATCTTTTATTATTTATGTGCTGCATTGGATGAAATACATAAAAAAGATTTAATCCATTGTGATTTACATAGTGGTAATATACTTGTGGAAGGAGGCTATTGTTGTATTACAGATTTGGGATTATGTGGACCAGTTGGTGAAAAGTCATCAAATAAAGTCTATGGAATTGTACCATATATTGCACCTGAGCTACTTAGAGGCAAAAAGAAAACAAAAGAAACAGATATCTATAGTGTTGGGATGTTAATGTGGGAAATATTTGCAGGTCATCCGTCATTTGATGATAAAGCTCATGATTATCATTTGATTTTTGATATATGTGAAAAAGGTTTACGACCACCAATATTACCTGAAATACCTGATGATTATGCACAAATGATGAAGAGATGCTGGGATGTGTATCCATCAAAAAGACCAACTAGTGAAGAGCTTGCTATTTTTGTTAGAAACAAACATAATGAAATTTTTAAAAATGATAATAATACTACTAGTAGTGGTAGTAGTGGTTCACAACCAGCACACAAATCACACCCAGATGCATATCACACAAGTAGAATTTTAGATGGTGAGATTGCTAAATCTAAAAATTTATACAAGTAATGATAATTTGTTAAATAATCTTGATTCTCTAAATGTTGACTTTAAAAAAGGTGGTGGATAAATTTCATTATTAATTAATTGAAAATTAATTTATTACTAACAATATTAATTAATTAATTAATGAAATTAGATTCTAGTAACAATAGTAGAAGAAAGGATTGATGAATGACTAATTTAATCCTCACTATAAATTTATTCATTACCTTTTTATTTATCTTTTTTATTTTATCCTTATTTTATTTTTATCTTGTAACAATATTTTGAAATAATAAATTTTTACAATTTTCTGATTCTTGTTAAATGGCGATGTTATGAAGTATCATTCTGGTTGACTATGGCTTAACTTTTGGGCTTGAATTATTACTCAAAAGATTACAAAGGCATGCTGAAAAAGTTCTACTGTATCTTCACCTAGACACCCTATGGAGGATTAGTAAAACTTTCATAAATCTAATAAATTCATACAAACTTTAGAAAAAATAAGCTAATTAATTATTACACATATCTGATGATTTTCCACTATATGCTGAGAATATCTGAATCAAGATTATTTACCTCTAAATATCTGCATCATATATGAGATGATCGGCAAAAAATCTAGAATTGATTTCTATATTTGGTATATTCCCTGACTGTATAGTGCAGGACACCTAGTCCCTACAGCTTTTATTAGTCTTGCAAATCCTTTAATTCCTCCAAAAATGGAAATGTGTGACCAAAAAAACAAGATGACATTTTGAAGCTAAGACCTTTAGGTAATAATTTTTTCATTTATTTGATTTTGTTGATTAGAAAAATTATAAGATTTTTTTTTCTTAAACTTAGGAATACAATCATTCAAGAAATTCAATATACTATGGGTCGCCATGGTATGAACATTGACCCAAGACATGTTATGTTACTGGGTGATATTATGACATATAAGGTAAGGTGATTGTTATATAGTTATTGATTACATATATGTGTGTTTATATTTTTTTAATCTGTAAATTATAGGGAGAGGTGTTGGGAATTCATAGATTTGGTATATCAGATATGAAGAGTAGTGTGCTGATGTTGGCATCATTTGAAAAAACAACAGATCATTTATTTGATGCAGCTTTGCATGGTAAAACAGATTGTCTTGAGGGTGTTAGTGAATCAATTATCATGGGTATACCAATGCAACTTGGGACAGGATTATTTAAGTTGATAAGAAAATCCCACTTAGGTGATGAAAGGCCACAAAGAAGAAAATTATTATTTGATAATAGTGAACACCACGTAAATTTCTTATATGATTCATCACAAGTTTTATAGCTGATAGTAAAATGTTTAATTTTTAAAAATAAATAGAAAAAAAATTACTAATTTATAAAATTCATTTAATGTAATTAATCGTGCATCATGTATCTAATTAAAACTAAGTTAATAATTAATAAATTAAACTTTAGTACATAGAAATTATTTTGTGTATGACTATAAATGGAAATATAATATAAATTATATACTGTCGTGGTCTAATTCAATTAGATACGGGAGGTAATTGTTTTTTTTTCAATTGCTTATTTATTTTACTATGTAATTTATTTGAAATAACCAATAAAAATAACATCGGAAAAAAAAAATAATATAAATTTTATATATTAGTATTAGTATATATTAACAAACAATAAAAAAAAAAATCTAAAATTTCTACGACTCTTGGTAAAACAATCCAACTAGATAAATATTCTAAATATTTTAAGAGAAGACCTTGCAGAATCGTTCGTTTTATAAATTTTGATTTAAACATAGTTGTTGGGATGCTGGAAAAGGACAGGGGACGGGTCACTGTGCCACACCTGTACCTTGTTAATTGCCAGTCCTTTTTTATACTATTTTGCAGAGCACCCGTACCATTGCCCGTCCTTTTCATGTGTTCCGTTGTGAGTTTCTATAAATAACTTCTTTAAGAACCTCTTTAAAAAATAAAAATTGCCTCGCCTATAACAAGACCGTCTTGGTAGCCTCTATATACATCAATTGCTGATTTGCAGAATATATTGGCAACCTACTTCTCTCAAATCCCAATTTAGTCCTAATTAGAGGCCTGCATTGGGTTGGGCGGGTTGGTCTTAACATCAAATAACTTTGGGTTGGGTTCGGGTTGTAATTATGACCCGAGTTTGACCCGAATTGACATGAATTTAAATGAATTATATATATATATATTAGCCAGTTTTTTCAATCCTCTTATGAAAAAATTGAAAAAATTGGAGTCTGATGATGCTATCTGGGTAAAAAATGAAATTAAAAGACATTATGGTAATCCAACAATTAATGATGATAGTGTTGATGCTGACAGTAATAATGATGATAATTCTATGCAAGCAATATCATCAACTACAATTTCAACTTCAAATTCAAATGTAGAGTTAGGTGATTTTAGCAAATATTATGATGATAGTGATGATGATGATGGCAAAGATGAAGTTGATTTGTATTTATCAACAAAAATACAAAAAGATGATAACTTTAATATTTTAGAATGATGGAAAGACCATCAACATGTTTATCCAAGACTTTCAAGGCTTGCTGCCTATTATATGTTCCAGTGCACCTAGTGAAAGAGAGTTTAGTGCAGCTGGACTTACAGTTAATGAGCTTTACTCAAATTTAAATCCACAAACAATTAATAGTATTCTTGTATTAAGAAGCTCATTATAGTAAAATTTTCTTTCTTGTAATTAACAATTGCAAAAGTTATTTTTTAAATAAAATTGTGTTACAACGTTGTTAATAAAAAATGGGTTTGGATTGAAATTTTTTGTGTACAAGTCGGGTTCGGGTTGAGATTTTTATAATTTTTTGTGTACAAGTTGGGTTCGGGTTGCAAATTATTTTTTTATACAGGGTAATCATTCAATTATGATGACCTGTGCAGGCCTCTAACTTGTGTCTAACACCCTAACATGACTTGGAATTTTCTATTATTATCATTATTATAAATACTAACAATAATATCTTATATAAATTATTAATTATTTGTGGCAAGTGGAGGACATATATCATTTATCTAGAAACTCCAGTTGTTTGTCAAATGGTAGAAGGTGCATGTGCTGTTTTGTTTTTGGAAAGAACCTTTGTGATTAATGGTAGGCTAATATGCAAATATTTGAGCATTCTCAAGACAATGTAAAATATGATGGTTGGTTTTTATTATGAACTTGGGGGTTTTTTATTAAATTAATTCGCAAGGCTGAAATTCGAAGGACTTGCATTAGTTTATAACAATATTAAATGGAAAAGACGATTGGCTGGGTTACTGTCTTGACATCAGCTCTTATTAATATGTTAATTGGGGGATCCAAATACAACTAGGTTCAGATATTAAAATATTACAATAATTATTGTTATTCTCTGAAAATAAAAGGTTAATGTCTCCAAAGGGTACGATGTAATGGAAAGTCAATGGTGGAGGACAGCGATCCATGAACTTTATTGAAATTACATTTGGATTTTTCCCAAAGAACCTATTGAAGTTTCTCTTATGCTCAGACTCCATCCCAAAGGTGTTAATGGAAGGAACCCAGCATAAGTGTTAAAGAATAGTTCCATGAAATCTGACACCTAAGTTCAATATGTTGGATGTTCATTTTATCTTTCAGAAACGATTTTTAGGGAACTTTACAAACCCGCAATTGTACACAGTGTTCGAAATTCGACTGCGCCTTTACATAAACTAATCTAATTTTAGAAATTATCTGCGGTTAATTTCCATATTTGGTTAGTGCACGCCGATTCCGCCGATTGAATTTCGAACAGTGATTGTACACAATTGGGAAGTGTGCCAAGTAGAGATTCTAGAATTTTCCACTGCCACTTGACGATGGAACCTTCAACCTATACAGAAAGGAGGCCCAGATTAAAATTTAACAAAAATATCAAGGGTTCATTTTCCAAATCTGGCCAAATTTTCTCATTTTTACTTGTCAGTAATTTTTTTCAAAATTGGTTTCATTTCTGCATGGATCTTAGTATTATTATTATTACTTGGACGATACAGTTTATTTATTATGAATACTGTAATAGACATGATACAATAGTGCTTTTGGTGACAGATCAAAGATTTTGTTCATTTCATTTGACGAAATGTTGCTTGCTGAAGGCTTTATCTATTTCTCCTGTTTGGCGAAGCTTTTACTTAGGACTAGAATTTAGTCGGTCGATGATTTGAATTAAGAATTTATAAAAATTAGTTAAAAACTAAGGATCCGAAAAACTCATACAAGGGTAAGTTATAAGGTGCAGAGAACTTGTAAAATTAATTTTTTTTAAAAAAAAACCAATACAATAAAGGTTCTCGCTTTTATCTAGGTATTTGTAGTTAATTGATTGGAAGTGTGTATATTGGCAACAATAACAAAAATCAAAAAATTATTTAACAAATGAATGAATAAACGGAAGTGAACATCTAAATTTATTTAAAGAGTAAAACATAAAAGTAATATCCAAATGATAATTTAAAAAACAATAGAAAATTTTTTTAAAAGAAATATCAATTATATATATCTACCTATTACTATTATAATAATAATAATAGCTATATTAAATATTATTTGTTAAAAATTTCAAGTATATATATATAACATCTAAAATTAAATATTTGCATTCTATATAAAATCTTTGAAGAGAAAAATATGTTATTAATTATTACAAATAAAAAATATATTTATAAAAAAAAATCTATAAATATATTATTATCATCATCATCATCATCATCATCATCATCATTACTATTGTCAATTATTCATTCCCATTCTTTTCTCTTTCTTTAACCCCATGCTGCAGTTGTACAATAATTTACTATAAGCTGTCTTCCATCAGTGCTAAAACACTAAGAAGATTATTGGGAAAAAAATGATTAAATCATCAAAATTCAAAATTTATAAATCCTTAAAATCATCTATCTACTTACCTTAAATAAATTCGCAACAATCTCATCAGGAGCTGGTGAAAATGCACTATTTATATATACAAACTTATTTACATGTAAAGTAATGATTAATTAGTTTTTTTTTCCCCTATTTTTTTTTTTTAAATTTAAAAAATAAAAATCAACTCATACCAAAGGATCCGAAGTCTTGTAATTTAATTCTTTTCTTAAGAATTTAATCACAGCTTGAAACTTGTTTGCAGCATTTATTTTATAATTTAATTGTTTTAGTATTGGTGCATTACCTATTGCTCTAAATCGTATTACAACTATTTTGAATTAAAATATAATAGATTTGGGGAGTTTTCTTTGAGTAAAAATAAAAAAAAAGGATCAACTCATTCTAGACTTAGATTTATATACCTTTTGAAGAATCAGGTTTTTTAAATTTTTCTAATGCTGCTGTTGGATTTTGAGCAACTAAGGTAGTGGTAGTAATAGTTGTTGCTTTGACTGGTTCAACAAATGCTGTTGTAATTGTTGTTGATGTAGTTGTTGTTGTTGCAGTGAGTGTGGTGGAATTAGTTGGATTGTTTTGATCAGTAGTTGTAGTTGCCATAGATGATAAAAATAAAGAATATATAATTATCTGTGAATTTATTATATTTTTTTTTAATTTTATATTGATATACTTGTCATTTGATAATCACCAAGAGTTTCTAAATCGGTGCATCAGACAGAAACAATTACGTATGTGCGTGTGTTCAAACAATGAATTTGTGTAACTTGTAGCATTAAAATTTTTAGATCTGGTTTTAATAAATTCCCAACTGAAAAAGGAAAAAATATGTCTGCACAAAATGCCGCGTCAAAAGAGTCTACAACCATCACGCAACTTTTCGCTGAAGTAGAACGTTCAGTTAAAAAAGAAGATTATGTAAAAGTTCTTAAAACTGTTAATAAAAGTAATGATTTTTTTTTTAAACATCGAATTCAAAATTTTTTATTTTTTCCATCTAATTCACCTTTTAAAAATAGTTCTTCAGTTGAGTCCCGATGATAAAGACGCACTTCAATGTAAAATTGTTGCATTGATTAGACTTGGCAAATATCAAAATACATTAGACCTTTTAACAAAAGATTTTCCTGATGAGCAATTTTTATCACAAAAGATTTTTTGTCATTACAGACTAAATCAATTCAAAGAGATCTCTGAACAATTGCAAAACTATAATAAACCTTCGGGAAATGCTGATCTTCTCTTGAGACATTTAGAAGCTCAAGTGGTTAGCAATTTTGATATCATTGTTGAATATAAGTGTGTTATGGTTGTAATTATTAAATCACGGATTAATAACTATTAATTGTATAAATAGGCATATAAAATTGAAGATTACACCACGTCATTAGAACTTTATTATAATTTATTAAAAGAAACAGACAAAGTTGGCCATCATTGAATATTTATTATTATTATTATTATTATGATCTAGCAAAGAAATGTTAATTAATTTAACTAATTAATATAATAATATTTTTAGAAAGAGGATACTTATAATGACATTCTAACAAATTTCAATGCAGTAAAAGCAGCTTTATTGTTTTCTGGAGGAAGTTTGCTTGAAAAGGTTTTTTTTTTAATTTTTTGCTTGAAAAAAAAAAACAGAGAAATTAACATTTAATTAATCTCTTTTTTTCGATTAATATTAGTATGCTGTTGTAGATTCATCAACCACATACGAATTGGCTTATAATTCAGCATGTATTTATATAGGACTAAAAAATTTGGGAAAAGCCGAAAAATTATTAAAATTATCTCAAAGTATACTATATTTCTTATTATTAGTTAATATTTAACATAATTTCATATGTTTGCACAAATATTTACTATTTTGAATAGAACTTTGTAGACAATATTTTCAGGAAGAAGAATTAAGTCAACAAGAAATAGAAAAGGAATTGGCCACAATCAATGTACAATTAGCAGATCATGTGGTTGATTCTTGAATGGTTGTTGACATGTTGATAATTCTGACATTAAGATCCCAAAGCTATAGATGTCAGATTTTTGGGTATAAGACTTCATATTTAATACCTCTGGTGCAATATATGGCAGTACTCCAATTATACCATTTTTACTTGATATTTTTTGATTAGTTGGATCTGATAACCCTAAATCTGTAATCATTGCCTGGTGTAAATATTTAAAATATAAAATATTACCACTGTGAAGATCACCATGGGTAAGTTTTTCTTGATGAAATGTGTTTAAACTTGAGACAATATCATGAAGTCTTTTAATTTTATCATTCCAACTTTTATCATTTGATTTTAAATATTTTTTAAAATCTCCTTTGTCTGCATATCTCATTATGAGAACATATTCTTTTGTATTTGGATCTTGTGAAATGCCATAAATATTAACAACACCCTTGTGATAAGGCCCTATAAATTTAATGTGATTTTGAAGCTTTATGAAATTTAATAAAAAATTAATATATTATTTAAAAGTCTTTAATTGTTAATTAATTACATCAAATTATTTACCTCTTTTAAAAATTCTTCAGAAACATTTTGTGAGTTTTTAAACTTTTTTAATGCTACATAACCATTTACACAATAATATCTTTGGCCCCATTTAACATATCTAGGACCATTTGACCAGTAACACTTATACACAGTTGCAAAACCACCTTCACCTACTCCTTCTCCAACTGTGAGTTGGTCATAAGGAATCCATTCAAGATAATGATAACTATCAAATCCTTTTGCTTCAAGCTGTGTATTTCTGATTATTTCATCCAATTTTTCATTACCAATGCTACTCCAACTTTGAGCCAACAATTTGGGATCACATAACATCAGGAAAATGGGTACAAATATTATGCGTATATAATATGCAATTGCAGGGATTAAGCATATAATATATGTACAATTTGCATACATAAAAAAATACGCGATTTGTACACATATTATATGCTTAATCCCTGCAATTGTGTATTATATATGCATAATATTTGTACCCATTTTCCTGATGTGATTGTATTAGTATATATGCACATATACATAGCTAAAAAAGCAAAACCCAACCAACATTGGCAAATTTTACTAATTTATCATTGGTCCAAATTATTTATACGATGCAAATCATCTATACTCAAAAGTTAAAATTTTTTGAATATAATGTGACCTATGCATTGGATTTTATTCAGCTTTTTAAAAGGAATTGATTAATGTAAAAAAAAAATTTGTCTCAAATTTTCTTGATGATATTTCCCAATTTGGAATTCCTTTTAATACATGAGCATAAAAGAAATCTGATTTTTGTAGATATAGTTACACAATTATTTATACTAATTTTAAAATAAAAATTATATCAACAAGATATCCATCTATAAGGCGCAACTCTTTTTTTAATTAATTATGAATGATATTTCACATAGTTATCCTTTATTGAATATAACAATAATATTGTTTTCTAGGTCCTGGTACAACAATATCTTGACTTAATTATATAAATTTTAAGGGTAGAGTGTGGTCATGTGATTTTTCATAACAACTGAAAGGATAAATTTTTACAGTGACAATCATTTTCTTATGTCACACATTAAAATAAATTATAATAAAATAATTCTAAAACGGAGACCATAAATAATCAAGCTACAAGTTAAGGGTAGAGTGTAGGTAACATAAAATTTACTATGATACAGTAGATAATTTTTGACTTTGAATCATTAAAAATATTAGTGTAGTCATGCATGATAATACATAGAAAAAATCATTTTTATTTTATTTGTAAAAGAATGACTGATAATTAATATTAAATATTTAATATAACATTGTCC